GCAGGGGTACTTCACCCATGACTGCTGAAACACAAAGCAGCAATTTTCTGCGGATGAGTTCCATTAAATATGCATTTCCTGTTCTTTTGTGGTGCGCCGCTCCAATAAAATGCATGCAAGGAATCTGCATTTTAACTTGCGACTCAACCTAATTGCAATAAAATAAGTTGAGCAGAGGTCAACCAGTTTGCCACCTTAAAAGGTCAAAGTCTGGGCTACTTGCAGACAGGCAGTGCTGCTATTTTTCAGATTTTTAACACTAAATCAAGCTTTTGCCAGTGCAATCTATTATTTATCTCATTGTCTAAATCTGCTGATCTCTTCCAGAGAGCTGATATGACTTGTGCATATATTTTTGCACAACATCTTGGTGACAGGTGACACACAGGTGCACATTCAAGTATTAGCAAATTTAAATACCTTGTCAGATTCTGTTAAGCCTGTGCCTCATAAAATCTGAGATGAAACTTGTAGCAGAAGTCCTTCTGTCTCACCGGGTCAGCTGTCAACTGGAAATAAAAAAATCACAGCTCCGCGTTTCTCATAATTTTCCTTAAAAAGTTGCGTCTGAACGCTGTATGTTCCTTGGATCAGTCCGGCAGCTCTCAAAGTGTCACTATCACTGCACTGAAGTGAATAGTTAGAAATACTCAAATCCGCACCACGCACAGTCTGTCAGTGCTGCAGATGCACGCAGTCAGCAGCTCTGTAGTGCAGAGCTATCAGACATTTGGAGTAATATACCCACAACATCGTCATGTGACCACCACGGAGCTCCAGCTGAGGCTCCTCAGCCGCCGAGCAGCTGGTGAACAACCTCAGCAGTAGGCCGAGCAGCTGTACAGGAGCGCCCTCTGCTGGCGGAGATGATAATTACACCCTAAGAGCAGTTACACTGTCCAAGAGACTTAATTTAATTTTGCTTTATTTTATTTTATTAAGGCTAAAATACCTTATTTTTAGTAACTCCAGTGGCGGGCCATGTATTTTACTCCTAGGCCTTCAATGGCTTAACCTGTGTAAACATTTTCTGGTTTCTGGAAACAGAGAAAAAAAAAAGTTCTGCTTTGAAGAATGGTAGTTACTGAATGTAGCCCTTTAACATATTCAGAGATGATGTGTTCAGGTGCTCCAATAATAAAATAAGGGAAGGCTTTACTTTTGCTTCATTGTTAAATAAATCAAAGAAATGTGCAATGTGGTTTTATAAACCTTCACGACTGACTGTGTGGGGTGACCAGACTTGAGGTAGTCATGGCTACCCCTAGAATCTGCCTCTAAAAAAGCGTGCCTCAGAAGCCACAAATTTATTTTGTGATTGCTAATTAGTGATGATTTGAAGTATGCACGACTAACACATTATAAAATGAAACGGTAAAGTGGATCCTACATTGTTTCCAAGCTCTCTTTTGACCTTTCAGCTGATATCCGTACATGCTCTGCATACCAGCGCACATTTCTTGGTAATGGAATTAATAATTAACTTTGGGGATATAGGATGAGGGAGCTACCAGATGTTTTCTTCACAACAGTGGATGAATCTAGCCTTGAGCCTACTAGCTACAGACATGTACAGTATGCAGAATTTTTATTGAATCTGTAAACAAGTCAGCCTTTCCCAGGTAAGACATTGTGACATGTAAGTAATAAAGCGGTTTATGACTGGATTTCATTCAGCTGCTTCAACTTTAGGGTCCTGGCATTGTGTATGTTGTTCGCTGTCACACTGTCAGGGCTTATTGAACATATGAACTCAACAGAGCAATTGCTAAAATGTGACTATTTTCTCAGGTTATTGATTTATTCTCCTCTCAGGTGAACCCCCATATCTTTTTGTATAAAACGTGGTGTATTTTTTTCCCCCGTATTTTAAAGAATAATGACACAGAAATTTTCCATCCAACAAGCTGACAGGATTATTGTTCAGTCCCATATGAATCCATGGAAATCTGACTCCATGTTTCTGACATGGTCATCAGTACACTACAGTTCCAAGGAGGAAATACTCAGCTGGGGTGTTGACTGCTTTTTTCACTCATGATGTGTCTTCTAGCATATAAAAAAACACCATATGGACAAATTAACGAGATAAAAATGTGATTTTCATGCAGGGGGTCTTTAATGTTATTGGGAACATCTGTGCTTCTGCTAATTTGTAATGCCAGTATCAGCTTTTGTTGTAAATGTCCCTTGCTGAGATCATAGAAACATCATAGCAAGCCCCATTTAAAGTAATTTATTAATACCTGTTTGTTAGAAAGACTTATTAAATTTAGAGTCATAAGTCCACAGACTTACCGTCACAACACAACACAATACAAATAAGCAGTAAGGCTTAAATCGACGTCATACAGTTTACTTGATTTCACCAGGAAAATCTGCTATGAGTACTGTGTTTGCCTGGTTACATGTGCCTATCATAAAAACAACAACAACAAAACAAGGAGATAATTAAAACATATCAAACAGCAGTAAAAGTGTTTATGACTGTGACTTAAGTGCTTGAGGCCTTTTCATAAACACTGTAACTTAAAAATAAAACCTCACGTACAGGGACAATTCATTAGCAAAACTATGAAAGCCTGACTGTTTTTCCTATGATGACATGATGCAGTAACAGTTTCCATGTGTATGGCACCATAAAGGTAGGTGGCAGGGTCTATGCATCACCAGCATTTTTACTGGAATGCAGCTGTCATGGCTCCAGACTCTCCCCATCCTCCCCTGTGTTTCTTCTGTTTATCTCTCTCCCTTGTGTCTCTTGTTGGTTTGTCTATCTGTGTGTGTGTGTGTGTGTGTGTGTGTGTTCACCTGCTGTTCAGTTTCCTCTGCCTCTTACTCATCCTCACATCTGAGGCTCATCTGTCCAACTCTGCAGATATCAATCTGGGCCCCTCACTCCACTCTCTGCCAGATTGTTCACTTCAACATGGTGCTAATGCGAACACCTACACCTTCAGGTTAGTCTTCTCTCTATGTTCCTCAGGCTGTCAAGTAATGTCAGTCTGTCTCTTTGCTCCAGGATCGCCTACTTCAGTTTCCCAACTCGGCTTTTCCACCTGCTGCGAACAAGTCGCCCCATTCTGCTCACCTTGTTCCATGCCATTTGCTATGACATGCTGGGCTGCTTCATCTCTGCGTTGAACTGTTCTCCATCAGCCTGGTGTCTCACTCCTGTTCTTGGGTCCTTCTATGCAGACCTTAACAGTAGCACAGACATTTCCAGTCTTTTTAATCATAAATGCCATACAAGTTACTTTCTTCTTACAGCATTAGTAATACTTCCTGGGGATATCACGTACTTTGAATCTATCAACATCAGACAATCTCACCTAATCAACCCTCAGACTTGTGTCCAGATAACACAACACCATTGGTGCTGTCCTGTCCTGATCCATAGCCACCTTGAAGCAACTTCTGCCTCTTTGGTGAGCCTCCACTTCTGGGACCCTGTGATGCCCAGCATTTTGCAGGCCTTGTAGAAGGACCGGCCTGTGAACCCTCTAGGCTCACAGATTGCTTGTTTTTATTTTGCCCGTTGTTCGCCTCTTCAGTGCTGCCTTCCTTGGGATGGTGACTTCTGAGAGAATGATCTGCTTGGAGCTTTCCAAGATCAGAACTTCAGTTGCTTCCCTATAGGTTGACTTTCAGTTCCCAGTCTTGTAATGTTGCTGTTGTGGTCCTGGCAGGTGATTTTTCCCCAGCCCTGGTAAAAGAGATGATCTTCTTCACTGGGTGGGTGTGCTACTAGTGGATAATCCCACTGCAGATGGCATCCCTTATGTCCCTGAAGACTCCGGTCAGGTCACCTGCTGCAGCGCCCCTCACCCAGAGCTTTCATACAGCTGCTGAGGATGCGCTCCAGAGTCTTTCTTCAGGCGCAGAGGGCAGGTGGGTGATTCTACCTTCACCCAGCAGGATAAGTTGGTAGAATGTTAAAGATAGCATGCATTAAGAATTTCATTTAATGAGGCTCAGTTTTCCCAAGCTCAGACTGTTAAAACTCCAGAAGTCTGAATTTGTGTTTTGAAACTAATATTGTTATGGAGTCATGGAGTTCACTGCCTGTTTTTGTCATGATGTGTCTTCCATCATATAAAAACACATCATAAGAACATTAGCGAGGTAAAAAAAAAGCTTTTTTTTTTTTTTAACTGAGGGAGACGTTTAACATTATGATAATCTAACAAAGCGCTTTATAGTTTTTGCTTCTTATTTACTCATTCATGTACACTCACACACCCCTGCCTTCGCCCTAAGTCGGCTGGGATAGGCTCCAGCCCCCCCGCGACCCTAGTGAGGATTAAGCGGTGTATAGAAAATGGATGGATGGATGTACACTCACACGCCAGTGGCTGTCATACAAGGTGCACGCCTACCACTGGGAGCAACTTGCACCCCAATGTTCTACTCAAATTAAAAACATTGTCCTGCTGTGGGAAGCCACTGGTGTTGAGGAGTGCCGTTGCTATGAAAGGTTGTGCTTGATGGGAAACAACGTTTAGGAGTGTAGTACATGTCAAAGCAACATCCACATGAATGCCAGGACCCATGGTTTCCCAGCAGAACCTTACAATGTAATGAGATGATCAATGTTATTCACATCACCTATCACTTATTTTCTTGTAATGGCCATTTAATGTATATGCCACACTCTGACAGTGAATGCTACACATATTACCAATGTTGTTGTTGTTGTAGTTTTTTTTAAACTTAATACACTGTATCTAGTCAATGTTGCATTTACTTTACCAATATTACTACAGTATGTTTTTGTTGTCCAGTATTGTCTATGATTACCATACACTTCAGTTTTTTCAAAAGTATATTTACACCACCAAAAATGAGCATACATGTTGCCATTTAGTTTTTTCAAACATGTATAATTGTTTTACGTTATTAAATATTGACATTATCAATGACAAATATGAACCTCCACATTACAAATATTTTTGACAGCACCTGAAGGCATCACGCTGGGTGGAGCCTGGAGGAGGAACACACCTCATACACGGTGTCTGAAGTCCACAGGTCCAGAGGAGGGTCGACAGTAAAAGTGGAATCAAACAGACCGGACTGCAGGTAAATACAGCTTCTTACTGAGCAAAAACTTTAAGAACATCTGTCAAGATACCTGCAGTTAGTTTTAAATGTTTGGTGTTGTTCAAAGACAGCTGTTCGTCGATGAGTTCCTATAGCTCTCCTAGGCGGGCCGTCCCTCAGAGGAAACCAGGCAGAAGTCCATTCAAATTTCTGACCTTTTAAGTTCTCCTCATTTACCGGCTCAGCTACCCATCTGTTATAGAACAGCAAAGACTTTTGAGATAAACGGTTTTAATTCGGCAAAAGCATATCGACAAGGACACGGAGTTATAAGTCAAAAATTCAACATTTCCAATGACTTTGACTGTTTTTGCATGAGGAGACACAAACATGGGACTGTAAGTCGATATCGTTTTTGACACTATGATGCATGCAGCATAAATGTATTGTTGCACAAAATGCATTTTCATCGGGTACAACTTCCGTTTTGTTAAGCCATGCATTCCATTTGCTAAACGAAGACACATCATTACGCTGCAGTTGTTGGAGCTCTGAACAGTCAATGGTCTAAATCTCCTGCCCTGGAAGCTTTATTATACTAATAGGAGAAAAGCTGCAGATTAAAGAGCTTAAGCGTCTGTGAATAGGATCATAGAAAAGTTAGTCGACCACTAACTCTTCCTGAAAGCTTGATCAAGAGACGAGGTACTTCTGCAGGAAGCCACAAGGTGGTAGGATAACCATAGGCTGACTGTGAGGATGACAGCTTGGGATGCAGGAAGGACGACTGCAACCTGCAACTTAACAATGTGTCCTGTTTGAACGTTTTTAGATTAGTTGGGTCTGCATTGATTCATTGTGTCACGAGAGCAATCCCATTTGACGTGGAGGCTGTATTTCTAAGATATGTATTCTAGTGAGAGGAAATAAATCCAATCAGGCCACAGGACAGCTCTCGTCAGGCTTTCATGGGAATGTATGGAGACGCTGATGTCCAGCTGTTACCTTGTTAAGTGTAAATTGAAAATGACAAAGGCTGGGTAGCAGACATACACCAAATACCAAAAGTATGGTTTGTTTTTGTTCTCTTTGCTTATTTAATCAGCCATTTGCCTGTTTAAATACTTTTTTCTCCAGTTTGAGATAATTTTTTAATTTGGCAAATTCAGGTATTGCATTGGCACAGGTTGAAAATAAGTAAATAAATCAAGCTACACCCATTTCTACAAACAAGAAATAACTTAAAATTCTGTGAAGAAGGATATGATGCTCCCCCACTTGGAATCTGAGATTCCCCTCTGTCCCCTGGTGGGTTGACAAGATATCAACACTCAAGTCACATTCCGGCAGGGAGAAAAATAAACACCCACCAAACATAGTGGTTTTAAGCTGTGGGTGGTAAAAGTTTTTTCCTCCAAGTTGGGGAATTATTTTCTTTAAAGCCTGTATGAAGCACTTACAATGGCATTAGTGTGCTGGATTCTGTACACAACATCAGACACACTTTTCCTTTTGTGCGACCGGTCCATGACATTGTAGTTACAGTATAATCTCAGGTTTAAGTGTCTGAACCTCCAAATGACTCCAGACTACTGTATGTTACACACCTTGCTGGGTCAAAGAGAGTAGAACACACTAACATGATGTGCAGGTGGAAGTGGAAGAATAAACTCAGATATGCTGAAGGTATTAAAATCAAAGTATAAAACAGTTATAATGAGCACCGATTCTCCTGTCTGGTATATGAACCAAAGCTCCTGAGCAGTCTGTTCAGTATTCTGTTCAAGCACAAGAAGTGTCGAGGGTGGTGAGTCTGTACAAGACCTGGTGCCAGCATCGGCCAGGTCCAGTCCAGCATAGGGGTTTGTGCTTGTAGTACAGAACGACCTCAGTGGCCTGAGGGGAAAACATGTATCAGCCACCTGCACTGCTTAAAGCTAGACTATCATACAGTACACATGGTGTTTTTTTTTTAGCACTGTGTGAAGAGTTTTTGACATAACTTAAGACTGCAATTTTTTCATTTACAGTGTTAAAGTGAGTACATCCCTGTGCAGTCTCACTGAAATGTCAAATGATTCATACCTGTATCTCCTTACAGTAATTGCATTACTTGTAAATTGAACAGCAGGGTTTTTTTGCTCTTGTGTAAAATGTTAAACTGTTTAGATTTGTTATATTAAAAGTGCATGCCCCACAGTAGGACATCAACGCGACAAAAGTCAGCATACCAGTGGAGTGCTTTGGATCGTTATCATGCTGAAATATTCCACTATTGCCAAACTTCTGCAGACTGAGAATCATTTTGTCAAACAGTATTTGCTCTGGAGTTCAGTATGCCGTCTATAAATGTCATCTCCCAACACTATCGCACTCCCACCTCCATGCTTCACTGCCAGGACTGTGTGTTCACTGTGGTAATACTGGACAGATTTGCACCTTCCATCCTAGAGCGCATCTGATCTTAACAGATTTGTCTTGTCTGATCCAATGGGTGGCTGTGGCTCTGGTGGTGGAGCAGGTTGTCCTCCAGTCGCAAAGTTGGTGGTTCGATCCCCCAGTTGAAGTGTCTTTGGGGAGAACACTGAACCCGAAGTTACTCCCAACGGCAGGCAGCACTTTGCAGCTCTGTCGCCACTGGTGTATGAATGTGTGTGTGAATGGGTGAATGAGAAACACATTGTAAAGTGCTTTGGATAAAAGCGCTATATAAGTGCCATTTACCGTTTACCAATCGAAGAATGTGTTTCAAATATTCATCAGGCTGTTTTTCATGTTTTTGGTTTTTTAAAATTATTATTATTATTTTTAGCACGAGTTCTTCTTGGGCTGCATGATGTCTTGGTGGCTAGCACCATCGCCTCGCAGCTAGAAGATCCCTGGTTCGCATCCCAGTTAGGACGTCTGGGATCTTTCTGCATGGAGTTTACATGTTCTCCCCGTGCAGCGTGGGTTCTCTCCTCCCACACAGTCCAAAAACATGTTGAGGTTAATTGGTGATTCTATAGGTGTGAATGTGAGTGTGCTTGGTTGTCTGTCTCTAAGTGTAGCCCTGTGATAGACTGGTGACCTGTCCAGGGTGTCCCCTGCCTTCACCCTAAGTCAGCTGGGATAGACTCCAACCCCTCTGCGACCCTAGTGAGGATGAAGTGGTGTATAGATAATGGATGGATAAGTTCTTCTTGCATGCATTTTTCTTGGATACCATTCTTAGAGGTTGACGTTGTACAATGATCTTGACACTGTCTGAGCTGTCATAGAAACTCTGATTTCCACTAATAACCCCTGGGCCAAGTCTGAAACACCCCATCTGTTTTACGGAGCTAGATTGTGTAAGCAGTGCACTGCTTGTTGCACCAATTTAGAACAAACCACTGCTGCTCTGATTAGTGGTACCATGGCTCGTTTTATACCTCCTGATTATTAATGTTGCTCTGTTTTAACTCAGTTTCAATTGTTTGGTCACCGATCTTCCTGTATCCTTTCCATCTTTGTGAAGTTTCACAATTAGATTTCCCCATGTGGAGCCCATAGGTCCAGTTCTGGTGTTTAACGGTCATTTTATTACCATATTCGCGTGATCACAATTGGTAATCACAGGTGGACACAATTTGGTTTCAGTGATCAAAGGTTTTCTGTCTTCTGTCAGTGTTTACAGGTGTATTCACTTTTGTTGCATTGAGTTTTACTGTCGGGCCTCTATTTTCAATATAGTCCTCCAAAAGAATTTGGTTTTGATTGTTCATAAGAGGAAACTACTGCTCAGCTTCGATATAATGCAGTTATTGAGAGGTGATACAGTTTTCACTTCATTTGACATTTAAGTGACATTGTACAGGGGTGTACTCCCCGTGCAATGCCACTTACATGTCAGTCGAATAACACTAGAAAAGATTCAGTCATTCTTTTTTGACCATCTCTAACTGTATGTGAAGCCATGTTGCCATAACAAACAGAACTGCCCACTTTGTCCAACTGTTCTACCCCGAAGCTCCATAAAAAGGGTGAAACTAGAAGCAGAAGGTGGCAGTAGGGACGGATAATAAAAGACATCAGGCCTGAGGAGGAAGCAGTATTTCAGAAGGATTAATAAAGCTCTTCTCATCAGCTGCTGAATGTGTTTAATTTAGATTTAAACACATCAGTTCGGATTAAAGCTTAAACACAAGTTAATAAGTTTAATAAAGCGGGGAGTTGTAGAATCTATAAATCTACCACACAATCAGCGAGCGGTACAAAAAGCCAATTTCCCACCCTGCTTGTTGCTGCACATGACTTTTGTTTACAAGTGCTGGTTTAGTTGTAACAGGGAAGCGTGAACCTAAATGAAATGGTTCCGAGCAAATAAGACAAGCTGTATACTGTCACTTTATGCGCCCATAAAAATAGACCCACAGGAGCCCAGTTTAGCTCTGTCGTTTAGGAAACGCTGTCCTCAGGCATAAAACAAACATTATAGACCACAGGAAGATTTTCTTTACCCTCAGCTCACCCCAACACTGACGGGAACTTTCCCATCTCTCTGCCCCGGTCACTTTCTGTATGTCAATTACTCCACTGGGATCTCGTTACTGCCCCAGCCAATCACGCACCCCCCTTAATTAACACAGGAAACTACATTTCTATATTTACAACCTAATAACTAGGCTGGCCTGCTGAAAAGGTCACATCAACAGTTTAGCAGTTTTTGCCCTATAGCAGTGTAGCCCAGGAGGATATGGCTGGGAGAAAAGCCAAATGAACCAGAGGCAACTTTTTGGAAAACTTTTTTTTGACCTCGGAGTGTCGGAGCTGGTTGATTTCACCTCGCTGTAGAGGAATCCGTCAGCCGTGCTCAGCTATTTGTCATCATGTTCAGGGAGTTGTCGAATTAATCACTGGAAAATAGGCTTATACGGAGTAAGTAGGTGACACCACATGTGAAGGAAATTTAATCCGAGGCGTCAAATATCAAGAGAAAATGACATTTCCTCACATTTGAAGGTCTACCACAGACAAAAATGTCCTCAGCTAATGTGCCCGGAGCAACACTTCAATGAGCTGCTGCTGGGGGACGTCTGCACGTTCGCAGGGATGGCAGCCGAGTTTCTGAGCTCAAATTCTGGTCTGGTGAACTTTAATAATCACAGGCATACTTTTATTTTTACCACCTCTGTCCTGTTGGTCTTCAGCAATATAACCTGGAATTACCTTTTTTTTTTTTCATTCTGCTCACATCTTGATGTATTATTGAGTTAATTGTGGGAAAATCTTATGGCACACCATCACCAAATCCCAACAGAGTGATGCTGATAAACAGTCAATCATATTTTTAAATCATTTTTCAAGGAATAAAATACTAAAAATGTCTATCAGATGTGAGTATTCTACTCCTTGTCTGTGTTTTATGTATTTTTAAATAGAATATATTTGGATTTTGAACTTGTGGTTAGCAAAAAACAAGCAATTAGTAGATGGCACCTTGGGTTGCATGACCATTTTTTATATTTTATATATGAAACAATGATCCATTAACTAAATAAATGATCAGCCGTAGACTAATTGATTAGAAAAACAGTAGGTGCAGCCATACACTTCAGAAGAGAGGAGATCGTTTGGTTTAGTTGTAATGAGAAGTTCAAGAAGCAGAAGAAATACACGGAGTAACTTCAGTTTTATCTCAGGCACTGATGCTCGGCAAGGCTGCTGTTCTTGCTCACTCACACTGCCTTGAATGGAGATATCAAAGGAAAGATACATATATAAAATTTAGTTATGACTTTGGCCTTTTATTATCATAAGATTGTATTCACTAAATCGGACAGGAAACCTTAATGTTCACATGATCAGATGCGTTGAAAACCAGCCAACACATTCTCTACCTACACCATGTTATTAGGAGTTTAATTGCCACTTTAAACCACTTCATTTGGAGGGAAACCAAAAAGGACTGCATCTGAAAGGTCTCATCCCTCAGTCATAATCCCTCATTGCACAGGATGACTGTGCACAAAAGCAAACAAGTACAATAGGTCAAAGCTGAAATCAATTTGTAGGATGTGATGGATATTTAAAATAGGAACAGGAATGATGGCCAGTCCAACAAATATAGGATCCAGATTGTGATGAAAACAAAACAAATGGAAGGAAACAACCTTACAAGGAGGTAAAGATGACCACCACAGAGTGATGCTGTATGATACATGTACCGTATTACTTTTTTTTTTTTTACCTGGAGCATTTGAAGACTAAATTGTAGCTATGTGTTTTGCAAATTCTTTGTTACTCACTTGTTCTATGGCTCTCATCCAGGTTGTTTTTTCCTGACTAGATCCTTGCTTGTGTTGTATCTGCTGTCAGATGTATTTTGCTTTGGATAAAAGCGTCAGCTAAATGAAATTGTAGAATTGTAGTTTTAAATACACAAACTAAATTAACCATGTTTTGATGTTCTGTTTTTGTTTTTCCTTCCCAGGCAATTGCTGATGTGGTCGCAGGGCGATGGACCCGACAAAGCAAGCGTCGTTGTGGTCAGTGGAAGAAGTGCTGGAGTGGGCACAGGAACAGTATCCTTCCTACATGAACATGCTCCATAAAGCTATAATCAAACATGCTATATCAGGTAAAGCTCATGCGTTAAATTCAACTTGCTTTATACATGCAAAGGTTAAACTAGAATAATCCATCTGTCAAGTAGATGTCGTCTTTATGTTTTCTTTTGTCACGTGTTTTGAATAGAATCTGTCAAATGTGTTTTTAACTGACCACTAAACATGCAAACATTTCAATTTAGTTAAGCAAAGTGCTATGACTGTAAGCCTTATCCACAAGCACAGTGCAAGCAATTTAAGCTTTAGGTCAGAGAAAGTAGACCCTTTGGAAAACTTCTTCCGAGGTGAAGGTTTTCAGCAACTGTTTGCAGTGCTGATGTGTGGGCAGGGAAATAAATAGATAAATAAATGTATATATAAAGGATGAATGTAGCCTTTGGGTGAGAAAACAGAAGCCAGCATAGTGATGCCTTAAACCTGTAATATTTTGTAATGACCAGCAGGGGGCGACTCCACTGGTTACAAGTCTGTTTGTATAGAAGTCAATGAGAAAATGTCTTTACTTCTTTGATTTCAGAGAACATTTTCCGAACAAATTTATGGTCTCAATCAGTAGTTTCAAGTCTCCCTCAATGTAGCATAACGTCCATTTAGTAAATGACGACCCCATTAGAGTAGAACAGATGATGAAATAGGATAGGTTTTAAGGCGTGACTACCTTGTGATTGACAAGTTGCCGCCATATTGCCAGTCTTTGGAAAAACAGAGTTTTTGAATTGTGACAGTCACTGTGTGCTGTTACCTCCTTTGTTTACATGAGGTGATTCTGTCCAGTAGCGGATGTGCTGGTTCTAACCTTGCTAAATACCAGCGTACCTATAGACTAGAGGGCTGTTTTACAAAGCAGGTTTGACATAGCCAGGCTTTCTTTGGGTAAGTGGGCTCAACAAAACTAAAGCCCCAGTCAGAGTAAACAGGTGTCTCAAAGGTGGTTATAAAGTTTCTTTGTTAACCAGGTTTTCTGCTTCAGACTCTGACTTAAAAGCAGGTATTCAACGCGTCATTTGACTCTTCCTCTGCACAAAATGAAACCAAAGTGTCCCGCCTGCTTTTAATGTCGCGTAAATGATGAAAGACAGAAATGCTGGAAGAAAACTGTTGACTGTGTGTTAATATATTTGTTTTACTGATCAATGCAGCCACTTATTTCTAACTGACAGCTGCATATTAGAGTTGTTAGACTTTAAACTTCCATGTATTGAAACATTATATTGCATTGCAATGCATTTAGGTCTGACACTGTGCCGTAATGTAGGAAATCATTTTAATTTTGGCCAAATCAAAGTGAAATTGATGAAAATTTTCTGTAATACAACTAATACACTAAATATATTTTCCAATCTGTTTTCTATTAACTGTAGCATTAAAAGTTAAAATAGACTCAACAGCAAATCAGGACCAAACATAAAAACATATTTATGTGATTTCTGCATCGCCAAAATCAATGTTGGGTTCCCATGGCAACGCAATGCATACAGTGCGTGATACTGTAATGACACAGCTTCAAGTAGTGGGATTCGTAACATACAGTTTAACAGGTTTACAGATGTAACACGTTCTCTTTACTGAAAATTACCAGGAAACCATTTGATTAAAGGGAAACGCTTCTTACTGCTGATTTTAATCTGAAGCTCTGATCGAGGAGGTAAACAGAGAGCCACCTTCATGATACTGAAAACTCTGACTTTAGACTTAACGTGCCTGCTAACCCACTAATCTCACTGTGTAGTACAACCCTCAGGTCTTTGTTTACTGCGTTAAAAACACTCATTTCCACCTAACACACCCAAGTTGTGCATGAATTTGCAGGCCGTGCACTGCTGAGACTAAAGGAGCATCACCTGGAGCTTCTCGGGGTGGAAGATAAGGAGCAGCAGCAGGAAATATTGCAGGACCTCCTCCTCCTAAGAGTTCAGGAAGAAATCAATGAACTCTGTGACATCTGCTCTGGTGAGAATGCTAAATGACTTCATCTTAAGGTTGTGGCTGAACTACTAACTAGTAAAATAGCCATGCTGTGTGGACAACTAAAAGCAGTGAAAGAAAAATCACTGGTGGTAGTAGTCCTTGACAAGTCTTCGCATTTTAATTCTTGTGTAAAAATTGTGGGCAATGTGAGAAACAAACTGCTAACTTGTATTTTGTTTGCTCTCTTTTCTACTCTCCAGAGTGTTTTTCTTCATAAAGGACAGTAAAATCTTCAGAAAGAAAGAAACCCAGCTGACTTTTTTTTTCCATTTCCCATTCATCCATTCAACCGTGTGAAGGAGAGAGAAAGGTGGGAGTGATGGAAATAACAAGAGAAGGTGAATAGAAAGAGGGATCGATGAGGAATGAAGAGAGAAAGAAACCCATTTCGTGTGTGAAATCTGACCTGTGCAGATGGATGAGATTAGTTTTTGTCTGGTTGTCTTTTTCTGGTCCCTACTGTCCATTACTCTCTGTCTTTTTTTCTTTCTCTGCTGTGGGTTTGCATCCAACTATAGCATTTTACAAATAGCTGAACACTACTGTTGATGTATTTAATAAGGAAAAGCAGCTCCAGTGTGTGTGTATGAATGACGGTAGAGTCTGTCAGTCCCTTACTGCTATTACTGTGAACTGTAGATAATGCATAGATAGCTATTTTTAACCCCACCAGTATCATCACTGTGGAGATGGTGATGTCAGTGGGTCGGACGTCTCTTTTCTCCAGTATTAGATGAACTGTCATGAAATTTTATCCAGACATTAGTGTTCCCCAGAGGATGAATCCTACCTGACTTTTCCTCCAGTTCCTCCATGCCGGGCCATATTTATAGATTTGAGGGCAATGTCAACAGTTTGGATGAATTTCAGGGAACTTGGCTGAACGCATTCATGCTCCCTTCAAGATGAACTAAAGTCACTTTGTCAATCATCAACTTGAAATGTTGTTGAACCAGTACTTTGGTTCATGACAAAATACCTGCTAAGTTATTGGCTTTTCTTTCAGGCTCAGCTGAACTTTGTTTTTAGTTAGCAAATGCTAGCATAATGAACACCCAAACATTGGGCTGTTTTACACTGCAGAAAATTGCAGGTTGTTTCAATGTGGCCTAAAGCTTTGAGAATGTTCCGACCATAAGAACCAACCCTGCAGAACCTCTTCAGTGCCCTTTATGCTGAGTGGGTACTGAAAACTGCTGTGTGGGTCTTTACACTAATTGTTTAAGCTCAGAGAGGATGAGAAGCACCATTTTTCTGGCCTTTCAAAGCCCTTGTCTCTAAAATCAGCATTTTTAATGTAAAAACGTGTCATATATGCTTACATAACAAAACTCCATCATTGTATTTCCTGTGTGCTTATTGAACTGGAGTTGCTACCATTACAACCATGTTAGCATGCTAGCATTTAGCTTAAATCGCTAGCTGTCTCAGTACAGCCTGATCGCTGTACTATTAAAATGTCCTTTTAGGCTTCCTCAGTATTCCTTAATGTAACTTACATTTGTTCGTGTTGGCAGAAAATAATACTTTGACTTTTTTTTTTTAAATTGTAAATTGCACATGATTGACAAATCTCAAATTGTCAGGGATGGACAACATAGCTATCAAACAAGTTGAACCTGAATCAAAACACTTGTTAAATTATGATAATGTGTCTAAGGAAATCAAAAATATATTCAAAACTAGATTGCAGATGTAGTCGGTTGTTACAGATGGGTAAAAAGAGGTACACTGTGAGAAAATTAAAAAGTTTATAGTGTCTTGTATTCTATTCAACGTGTACAGGTCAGTTTTTACCATTTCCTCAGAAAATACCATTATTCAGTAAGCAACAACTCCAGCTGTCCGTTCAACCCAAAGAACTGTGGACTCAAAGAATACAAAACGTTTTAAATATCATAAGTCTCGTCTCCATCACCTGCCAGAGTGACATCCGAAGACTGCTAAATGCTAAAGTCAATCATGCTAAATTGGAGAGTAAATATCTTAAAACAACACTGATGTTATTGAACCCGACACAAGAAGTCTCAACTGCAGCTCTACCAACAGAAACGAAGCACAACAATGCGACATCCGTTTCAGTCACAGTAGTCTTCTATCAGCTACTGTCTGCTCCTGGTTCATGGACCACTGAGGTGAACAGGGTTAAACATTTCATGTGTCGGACTGAAAAAGCTGAAGCTTAGCAGTAAAACCTTCTTCCAGTGTTTGTCCTTCTCTCACACACTCTGAAATTGATTTCACAGTTCAGCTGTGGGTACGAATCTCTTATTGTTAGTTCAGATGTCTGCCTTTATGTTTGACTGATTAGTGATGAAAATGTTTGGAAAGTGAATGATGATCAGATTTACAGGGTCCTGCCATTTTTTTTCTGGATCTCACTTTGATGTGTTTCTAATAATGTGACTAAGAGGAATCGTCTATTAACTGATTACAGCTGATTTTTGGTCCTCAAACTTTCAGACATCTTTTATATATGTATAAATCCAATGTTTTTTTTGTTTTTTTTTTTAAATGTTGGCCTCCTTTTTAGTGTGTAATACAGGCATGAATACCACTGCACATTTGTGTTACATGAAAGGTTATGTCTGTTGTGAGCATTGCGTTTGCCACAGTATGTCAGTTGAATTAAAAGTGGTGCTTTGGCAACATATCCCCGCAATTTTGTCTTTTTACTTTTTCAGATGGTCTGTCTTTCTACCAAAGACTATTTCTGTAATCGTCACTTGTCATGTAGCTGCTTTTTACAGCTGCAACCTCATGCTTCTCAATCCATATCCACTGTTTCCCCTGAAACATTTTTGTCTGCCTGAAAAAAAGATAAGAGCTATGATAATGAAAACATATTAAAGCAAACTTGTGTGCTGCCCAAATCGAGTTCTATAGTGTACCAGGTCAGGACAGTAAGTATAGAGTTGATAAACTATGCAATAAAAATGTAATCAAACTGCATCACGTCCATGGCATCAGTCATACCATATATCAGCCTGGTAATAATCCACTGGCTGCACTGCAAGAATTTTACACTCACTTTTTTAAAAACCTTTCCCTGTCTCAGTTTTAAGAAATAAGTGTTTTTTTATTTTAACTCGGGCAAGACAGAGGCGGTTGGAATTATCCTCTTTGCCTACATCTTCTGTTGATTTTACATCAGCTTATTCCAGGTATTCATTGAAGCTACATGCTACCCTGAGGACAATTTTGAAGCTCAACTCTTGTTTTCTTAAGACTGCACCATCGCCTAAACTGAAAATATTGCCCATCTCTTATACATACATTTTCCCCCAAAAGTCAGACATATTTGTTGCTTTGGAAACTTCTGGATTTGTGGGTTTTAACAATGTTTGGCTTCACAGGATGAATTTGTAATGATAATAATACCTACTGTTGGGTCAGTGAGAAACAAAGCAAAACAAACATGAGACTTCATTAGACTGAGAATTTTGTTTTTGCTACCTGGAAACGTGTATGTAATCAGAAGCAAGCAAGAGGGAACTACATGCTGCTATTAAGGGCAAGAAACAACACGCTTATAAAAACTAGTGCGTGAGAGACAGCCCGAGTGCTCAAGTGACCTTTCTGCTCTTTTTCTTTCTGTTTCTGGGCCTGACTGTGTGCATTGTGTGTCTGAGTGTGATTAATACCTCAGGAGATGGTGTGGCATTTGATTTGGCTGGGCGTGGCTGGGGGAGCGCTTAGTCAGCACAAACGTAAATCCACCTCACTGCTAGACTGAAGGGGGATGATGAACAGCACCACTGACCCTGTCCACAGAGCCAAAATAAAGAGACTGGTGCAAAATAGTCAAATGCGATCTCAGTTTATTTTAAACATATGTCTGCTTTTAGAAAATCAGAATGGGGACAGACACCAAAGTAAAATATGTGTATACGGATGCTTAAACATTACATGACTGTTCAGGGTGTCATTTGAAAACCATGGATATCTATGTGGTGCTATAACAGCCTGCACTGCTGTAGTCTAAGGTGTTCCTCAGGATTTTGGATTCTGACTGCAGAGATTTGTTCCCAATCAGCCACAAGAGCACGAGCAAAGTCAGCCACTAATAATGAGTGAGGTTGAGGGCTTGAGGTTAGGACTCTGTACAATGAAG